AATCCATGTGACAAGTTACACAACCATGTCTCACATTTGGAAGCTTCAAAACATGTATTTTATTCTATCTCCTTGGTGCAAGTGACTATAATAATTTATTTGACGCTTCCTACAAGTAGATAAACATAGTCTAACATGGATCTATTGGTTTTTTCACATCTCGTGAAGTCAGAGTGCTGAATAATCACCAATGGGTTGACCTTCTATAGGTGAGCATATAGTTTCTTGTCATTTTCAAATATCTCATAACTTTGTTGGCTCCTTGTCAATATTCAATTCATGGACTGTTCAGACATATGCTATATCATGACTCCTTCAAATTTGAGTATGCATGAAACTCTCCAAAAACTTTTGTGTTGAGAATTCGTATAGGTGTGTAGTATTGGTCATGTCATATTATTATGCTACATTAGTGAATAGTTGAATATTCAATATTTAGCCTATTTACTTTTCAACTGTGTATGTTTTGACATGCATGGAAGTTTTTTATTTTTTTTACCCTTGGGGGGTCGGTGTCGGGGGTCGAGAGAAGCCTGAGGTAAATAGGACTGGAACTCCCTTCATGGAGTTTTGAACCTGAGACATCCTATATGGGAGAGTGAGTTGGTGCCCAACTGAGCTAGACCGCTTCCTCGATTTTATAAGCTTTTTATAGTCAATGTTATAAAAAAATTGTGTTAAATGGTGAAAGAAGACTAATGAAGGCAAATAACTACAGTACGAAAGCAAATGACAGAGAATGACTAACAATTAATTTCCCAATTAGAGAGATGCATAATTCTCAATCTAGATGTGTACTTATATTAGCGGCCAATCTTCAAACATTTCAATCCTGGATGCTCTGAAAAGTCTAAATAGTTTTAAACTCTTTTAGAATATGTCAATTAAATTAAAGTGTTTGAACAAATCAAAGACTATTTATCTTTATTTTTAGTCTTATACATATTCATTACAACAACCCTTTGATGGAGAAACATGTTCGTCAATATACAGGATCTTGAGTATCCGCTTTTCCTTTCAGACATTGAGCAAGATTAAATTTCTCTCACTTTTCCATTAGGGTGTTTCCCGACAAGCCTGACCTGACCCAGGCGCACCCATGCACCTGGCTAGAAAAGAACAATTAAAATATACCGCCCAATCCATTAGCCTACAGCCCTGCGTACTGCGTTGTTTCCATCTGACCATCCGGTTACAGCCCTGACTCTTCAAACCCTTCTGCGATTTTTAGAGACTTGAACACATGGGATCGAAGCAACGAAGCGAGTAGATCAAGAATATGAGCGGCTACGAAAACATCATAAGGGTATGGAACTTAATCAATTTATTCTTTTTACATTTAAACATCTCCTATAATCCATTATCCCGCTATGAATACCTAGCTCTGTACCTGCGACGATTCCCCGGATTACGAATTTCAATCTATTCATTCTTCTAATTCTTCAATCTTCCATAATCTTTCATTTTGCAATTTAATTAATTCATTCTTGAGTTTTGTCCTACGAGGCTCTGAGTTGTGACCTGCGTGGCTGCGACTCTGCTAGTTTTCAAGGCCTCAAGCATGCAAGTTGAAGCGTCCAGCTTTTAGAAAAGAAGGCAAGGGTCGACTGATTTCATCAATTGATTCTCAAAGACCAGAGCAATTGTTAATTGCATAGCAGACTATTCTTAATTCTTATTCAGGACTTCAGGTGTTTTTGTTCTCATTCCTTTAATTGATTGTATTGTTATTTATTATTGTTAATTTGGATTTGTCTACATATTACAAATTATAATTTGGAGATTGATATTTGATAATGCCTCCTAGAATTAGAAAATAAATCCAGAGATGAAAAACATAGGAAGAAATAAAGAATCGACGAGTTTATTTTATCTTAAAAGGAGCTTTAAAAAAATTGTTACAAAAGAACCACAAAGTGTTAGTGCGAATGAAAATATTGATTCTAGCGTCTGTGTTGATGTTGATGATATTAGTGCTACTGTTGATGCCAACAATAATAATGTTGATGATACTATTAATTATAATATTGTTGTTGATGTTGATGATGATGTTGGTGCAATTGTTAATGTTAATATTGATGGCATTGTTAATTCTAGTTGTGAATTTGATGGTAATGTTGTTGTTAATGATGTTATTGAAGCTAATATTGACAATCATTTTACTACCGATATATTTGATCCTAGAAATCGGGTTGTCCTTGATTCTAACATGAGTAATATTTAGTTGAAAAGGGTCCAATCAAAGATTTATCTATCACTAAGGCCCCATGATAAATCATCAAGCGGGTTTTCAGCTGCATTTTACACTACTACTTTACCAAATGGAGAGAAGTGTGATAGAGAATGACTAGTGCATTCAAAGGATCTTGATAAAGTTTTCTGTTTTTGCTGTAAATTATTTAATAAAAGGATTGGTAGAAATCAATTAGCGAGTGAGAGATTTGGAGATTGGACACATGTTACCACTAGGCTTAAAGAACATGGATGTAGTGCAGAACATCTTAAAATATGACTACATGGTATGATTTGCATTTAAGATTGCAGAAAAATCAACTAATTGATAAAACTTCTCAAAAACTTTTTGAAAAAGAAAAGGAGCATTGGAGAAAGATGTTGTTGAGAATTGTTTCAGTGTTGAAGTTTCTTGCAAAACATAATCTTGCATTTTGTGGCACGAATGAGAAGTTGTATCAAAATAGCAATGAAATTTTTTGGGGCTTAATTAAGATGTTGGCAGAGTTTGACCTTGTGGTTCAAGAACATGTTTAACGTATTAAAAATTATGAAATTGAACATCATTATCTAGGGCATAGGATCCAAAATGAGTTAATTCTCTTGCTTGCTTCTCAAATTAAAGCTGTGATTATTGAAAAACTTAAACAAGCAAAGTACTTTTATGTGATACTTGATTGCACCCCTGACATAAGTTATCAAGAACAAATGTCTTTAATATTGAGATATGTTGATGTCTCGTCAAACTTAGTTGGCATTGAGGAATCTTTCTTAGGGTTTTTTAATGTTAATGATACGACTGGTCAATGACTTTTTAATGTTCTGCAAAATGAATCGGTCTCTCTCAATCTTGAGCTTGATAATGTAAGAGGACAAGGATACGATAGTGGATCTAATATGGAAGGAAAACATCAAGAAGTGCAAAAAATGTTGGATTTAAATCCTAGAGCTATTTATACTCCTTGTGGTTGTTATAGCCTTAATTTGACTTTATGTGACATGGCTAATACTTGTGGTAAAGCTAAAGATTATTTGGAGATTCAACGAATCTACACAACTTTTGCAAATTCCGCTAAAAGATGGCAAATTTTGAAAGAAAATGTAAAGGGATTAACTCTTAAATCATTGTCATCTACTCATTGGGAGAGCCGTGTTAATAGTGTTAAAGCTATTAGATTTCAGGTTTTAGAAATAAGAGAAGCTTTACTTGAAGTAGCAGGAACCGACAATGATTCCAAAATTAGAGTGAAGCAAAATCTTTAACCGAAAATGATCTTGGTAATTTTGAATTCATTGTGGTGGTAGTTATTTGGTTTGAAATATTATATGGTGTTAACTTAGTTAGCAAGGATTTGTAAATGATTGACATGCTTCTTGATGTTCCTATTGAAAAAATAAAGGGTTTGATTTCTTATTTTGAAAATTATAGGGATAATGGTTTCTCAAGTGTCTTAGAAATTGCATCGAACATTTGTATTGAATTGAACATTGACACTGTATTTCCTCAAAAGCATCAAATTAGAAGAAAAAGGCAATTTGATGAGAATACAGTTGATGTGTGTTCTAGTGTTACCCAATCTGCACATGAGTCATTTAGAGTTAATTATTTCTTATGCATTGTTGATCAAGCAATAACCTCACTTACCGCAAGGTTTGAACAATATCAACAATATCAGAATACTTTTGTGATTTTTATTTACCTCTGAAAAGTTGTGTTTGTTAGATGATAGCGGTTTGAAACCTCGTTGTTGTAGTTGTCTTGATGCATCACTTAAGAAGGATGAACAATTAGATATTGATGGAAATGAATTATATGTAGAATTAAAGTTACTTAAAGACTTGTTGCCACTAAAGAATATGGGGCCTATCGATATCTTGAAAATTTTAAAAGAATTTTTGCTAATGAAGAATATGGGGCCTATCGATGTCTTGAAAATTTTAAAACATCTTGATTGCTTTCCTAATGCAGTTATTGCATATAGAATTTCTCTCGACTATTCATGTTACCGTTGCAACTGCAGAACGAAACATTTAAAAATTGAAGGCATTAAAGACTTATCTGCGCTCTACAATGACGCAAGAGAGACTTTGCAGGTTGTTTTTAGTGGCAATTGAGAGCGATATATTGGAGGAGATTGCATTTGAAGACCTTATCAAACACTTTATTTCAAAGATTCTTAGAAGGATACCACTATTTAAATAAGTGTAGTTTAAATTCAAAATATTGGATGTGATTTTGATGTTCTAGGTATATTTGTTGAATAAGAAGAATTGCATTTTAGTATGAAATATTATTATAAAATATGATATTACTTTTTACTTAATTGTTAGTATTTTTTGTATTAAATATTAGGGTTTCTAATTTTTCTTTTGAACATGGCCTCTCATTTGTTAGAGGCAGACCTGTTCTTCGATTTACATTCTTACATGCTAAGTGCTTTAAAAACTTCATTGGTATATTCGTTTGAGAATGGTCGCAAATGATCACAATCTCTAAGATAACGGTTGCATCATGTAAGTTAAAATTTCACACGTTTACACTTAAACATTATGAAAATTGAAATAAATTCGTTCTCTTCAGACAATTCACATGTATATTTGTTCTTTCTCTTTTTAGTGTTTTTTTAAATTACAATGTGTAACTGTTAATTTTTGTAAGTTATATTTTTTTAGTTAATATACCATTTTTGTATGAAAACTGAACTAAATAAGTTACCACACGTAGTCATGTCTTACTCACCTATGTTTGGTATAGTGAAGGATTCTTGTAATAACCAGAAAGTACTATGTGTAGAAAACTAGCAACATTATAAGACTGTTGCACATTATCAATCAATTTTTCGCGTGAATGAAACATAGAAAACAGTTATGCATGATACAAAAAATTACTGAAATTACTAAAACTGGAATTAGAATTCCATCGTCACAAAGCCATGGTTATTAAACAATACTTGAGTACTAAAACAGTTGTAATTACGCAAACTAGATCATCAAGACCAACCTCGTCTCGTTCATCCCTGGGCGATAATTTTGGGAAATGAATGCATACATTCATATTTGATGAGACCTTTCTTGTACCAACACCACAATATTTGCTTATTCCTCCGACTTTCGACAGGTAATGATAGCAAATTTGATGAGACCTTTCTTGTACCCTTCAATCATCAACGGCATTGCCATAGCTCCCTTTATTGTTTTCCATCCTATATAATACATATTTTACATTAAATTAAGTTCTCATATATTAATTCAGTAGGCAACATGACTACTCCTCAGCCCCGTTTCATAATTCCCAATACATTTTACATCATAGTTTTGATACTTAGAATCTATGATATTAGTTCCATCGACTTTGCGAAATCAAATCCAAATATGAAAATAAAATATAATATATAATCCGATACTACACGTGTTAATTTGGCTAAATGAAAAGTGTATGAGAACCTTGAACTGGATGGATGGAGTATCATTCAACCTTTGAATGAGTATTTTCATATAGCACTACTTCGTTGTCTTATATCTCTGCCAATTTTCTACTTTTGATTGTTCAAAAAACTTTGTCACTTTTTCTTCTAAGTCATAATTAATCCGTGGTTCTTATATTTCTCGACACAAAGTTCAACTACACAGTGTTTATTTTATTGTATATGTTCTGCATATCAATGAAGCTTGATAAAACTATAAGGAACAAAATTTTGTATCAAATTCTAATTCACACTATGCTATTTGAACAAATTTATACCGTAATTTTTGAATATGTAAATTTGTATGTCTTTTGTGAAAAACGTTTATTCATGTATACTTTATATTCAAGGGCGGACATGGGGGCATTTTACTTAGAACATTTATATGTTTACAATTACTAAGTTATTCTTTTTACATTGCCAAATCACAATATGTGGTGCTCTTTTAATTGTGTTTTGTTTCTGTTATGATATGAAATTATTTCCTAAAAGTTCAACCTAATAAGACGAGTAGTCTAGGATCTTAATATAGCAGTTTATTAGTTCATATTTTACCAATGTGTGACTTTAACACATATCCTCACGATCAGACACTTCGCCTGAATTGTGCGGTCATTCGTTTTTTATTGATTCATCACATTCATTTTTATAATCGTGCGGTTATGGATCGATTTTATTCTAATACCATGTTAAGACATGAATTGAAGTTTCGTCCTAAGAAGTTAATCCAATAGGAGGAAGAGTTGAAGACACATCAATCAAGCACATCTAGACGGTGCTCACTGGTTTAGTATATTAGTGCTAATTATTATATTACTCCATTATTATTATTATTAGTATTATTATTAGTATTATTATTATCATCATCATCATTACCACTCCTTAAAAGTGAGGTAATTCCTTTCCAAGTAAATGCCGATTTGATTACTGCTGGCCAGAAAGGAGCAACATTTTCAGACCAATCTGAGGCCTTTATATCCTGCATGGAAATTAGCCACTATTAGACATATAGATGTTATATTTTTATTAAGAATATATAAAAATGGTAATTGTTATAGATTGATGGCGTTGTACATAGTACTATATGGTCCGTCCCCCCAAAAAAACTAATATATATATATATATATATATATATATATATATATATATATATATATATTAGTATATATTTATATATATCATAAAATAATATATAAATGAAGCTTGATAAAACTATAAGTAACAAAATTTTGTATCAAATTCTAATTCACACTATGATAAATGTAAACTACACAGTGTTTATATATATATATATATATATTAGTATATATATATATATTAGTATATATTTATATATATAAAATCTGACCCCCTTACGGCTCCGCCCCTGTATATGGTCAAAAACTTGTGTTATCTCACCATTCATTAAGAATTCGATTTGACTCAAAAAAGTTTACTCGTAATCTTGTATGTAGGATTAATATATTGGGAATATACGAACACAAATTTTAATTAATTAACCTGAAGAGAGTGGGATTGAAGTAACTTGACATAATCAACAGTGGAGCACCATGCAGGGAGATAAAAGGCATTGCATATCTTTTTGAGCAACTCTTTCTCTTCAGGAAGCAGACACTCTTCTGTAGGGGAAAGATCCCTATGACACCATGTCACTAATATAATTCTCCCACCGGGGGCTGCCACTCGGGCCAATTCCGAAACAAACTACATTTTTTTAGTACGTAAATAGATTAAATTAGTGTGGAAGTCATGATTAATTTGTTGGAAGAAAGTAGTTGATGAGTATTATATTTGGGTGATTGTGTGTGGAAGAGAGAATTTTAGAGAGTGGTGATTTTAGAAAAACTTGGAACTTGTATTGATTTGGAGCTTTTGGCTTGCTTTACAAATGAGTGAGGAGTGCTCTATTTATAGGTCTCATAGGATCCTTCTAGGTACTCCTACTTCCTTAACCTTCTAGAATATTCTATAGGATTCTAGCTTAGGAATAATCTAGAATTGTTTAGGTACATTAACTACTCTAGATCTTTCTAAGTCTATCTTATGGGCTAGCTAATTTATTAATTATCATACAACTTCTAGCCCAATAAGTTAACATCTAATGGACCCAATTATTGGGCTAAGCCAAGTTTAATTTCTAACATCCCCTCTTAAACTTGACTTAGCAACACCAAGTAGATTTCGCATCTTTGCAAAGACATCATGCTTGAGTGGCTTTGTGAGAATATCAGCGACTTGGTCTTGAGTCTTCACATACTCTACTTGAACTTCCTTCTCCGCTATCTTTCCTCGAATGAAATGATATCGAGTGTCTATGTGCTTGCTTCGATCATGAAACACTGGATTCTTTGCTAATGCAATAGCTGACTTGTTGTCCACAAATATTGTTGTTGCTTCTTCTTGAGACATGCTGAGAGCTTGCAATATGTAGCGGAGCCAAATTGCATGACACACACTTGATGTTGCTGCAACGTACTCGACTTCACAAGTGGATAGAGTGACGATCGGTTGCTTCTTTGAAACCCATGTGAAAGCGGTGTTTCCCATGTAGAATACGAACCCAGTTGTGCTCTTGCGGTCATCAATATCTCCACCCCAATCACTATCAGAATATCCAACCAGCTTAAACTCATCAGATGAAGAGTAAAACAACCCATATTCGGTGGTGCCTTTAAGATACCGCAAAATCCTTTTTGCAGCCTTCAAATGAGTTGTTGTGGGGGCCTCCATGAATCGACTAACAAGTCCAACACCGAAGAGAATATCTGGTCTTGTACATGTTAAGTATCTTAAGCTCCCCACAAGACTCTTAAAGTAAGTTGGATCAATCAATTTTCCTTTATCATACCTTGATAGCTTTAGTCCACTTTCAACAAGTGTACTTACAGGTTTAGAGTCTTCCATGTTGAACTTCTTGAGTACTTCTCTCGTGTATCCTTCTTGAGTGATGAATATACCATCATCCATTTGTTTCACCTCGATGCCAAGATAGTAACTCATAAGCCCAATGTCAGTCATCTCGAACTCCTTTGTCATGACTTGTTTAAATTCATCAAACATCGTCATGTTATTACCTGTAAAGATGAGGTCGTCCACATATATGCACACGAGCAGTATGTCTCCTTGATGATTTTTCTTGATATATAGAGCATGTTCTTGCGGACATTTCACGAATCCATTAGCTTGGAAGTATTGATCAATTCTACTATTCCAAGCTCTTGGTGCTTGTTTAAGCCCATAAAGAGCCTTACTTAGCCTCAACACTTTACCTTCTTGCCCTTTGACTTTGTAACCTTCGGGTTGCTCAATGTAGACTTCTTCTTCTAGGAACCCATTTAAGAATGCAGACTTGACATCCATTTGATGTATCTTCCACTTGTTGTGAGCCGCGAATGCAATTATCAATCTTATTGTTTCTAATCTAGCCACGAGCGCAAATACTTCTTCATAATCAATGCCATGTCTCTGGGCGTAGCCTTTGGCCACTAGTCTTGCCTTGTACTTCTCAACTTCTCCTTTTGCATTTTTCTTGATCTTAAATACTCATTTCACTCCAATTGCTTTATGTTTTGGTGGAAGTGTGGCAAGCTCCCATGTTTTATTCTTCACGATTGACTTGATCTCGTCATCCATTGCATCTCTCCATTTCTTGTTTCTTGTGGCTTCTTGAAAACTTAGTGGCTCACAATCACCAAATAGACAAAAGAGTGTAAGTTCATCATTTGAGTTCAAATTTTGTGTTACCCCGTAAAGCTCTTCAATGCTTCTCATGCGTGGTATTTCTCTTTCATCCGAACTTGGTGATGAAGCTTGAGCTTGAGTGGGAGATGGTGGAGGAGTTGTATTTTCATGATTTTCTTCAACTTCTTCTTCATATTCCATGGGAGGCAAGAGACTATAATCTTCTTTGTCACCAATGCTCCAATCCCATGAGCCTTCTTCATCAAACTCCACATCACGACTTATTATAAGCTTTTTAAAATTCGGATTGTAGAGTTTGTACCCTTTTAAGTGTTTATCATATCCAATGAATATAAACTTCTCACTCTTGTCGTCAAGTTTTGACCTAGTCTGATCGGGTACATGCGCATATGCAATGCATCCAAATACTCTCAAGTGTGAGACTCCAGGTTTACCTCCATGCCATGCTTCTTGTGGAGTTTTTCCATCGAGACTCTTCGTGGGGCAGCGATTTTGAAGATAGACAGCACAATCCACAGCTTCAGCCCAAAAATCTTTAGGCATATTCTTTGTTTTTAGCATGCTTCGAGCCATGTTGAGGATCGTCCTATTCTTTCTTTCGGCAACACCATTTTGTTGTGGTGTTCGTGGGACAGTCATGGGACGGCGGATGCCATTATCTTCACAAAATTGATTAAACTCCTTTGATGTGAACTCCCCACCCCGATCTGATCTCATGGCTTTGATACTGTACCCACTTTCTTTCTCAATAAGAGCCTTAAATTTCTTGAATGCTTCAAAGGCCTCAGATTTTTGTTTAAGGAAATATACCCATGTTTTTCTTGAGTAATCATCGATGAAAGTGAGAAAGTACTTACTTTTACCATGTGAACATGGAGTAATAGGACCACATAAGTCGGTATGGACTAACTCCAATGGTTCTTTAGCTCTTGAGGTAACTTCTTTAGGGAATGGTTTCCTTGATTGCTTCCCAAATAGGCAACCTTCGCATAGCTGATCAGGATGATTGATGAAGGGCAAACCTTTCACCATGCCTTTGGATGATAGCATTTTCAAGCCACCAAAGTTTAAGTGCCCATATCTTAAGTGCCAAATCCATGACTCGTCTTTCAAGCAACTTTTTAAGCATATGGCTTGATCTCTTTGAATGTCAAGCAAGAACATTCGGTTTCTAGTCATCGGCACTTTAGCAACTAGTCTTCCATTATTGTCTCGTAGAGAAAGACTACGATTCTTTAAGTGAATATCATAGTCCTTTTCTAAGAGTTGTCCCATACTTAGAATATTTGTTTTTAAGTTGGGCACATAGTAAACATCGGAAATGAATTGGTGACTTCCATCGTTTAGACGGATTAGAACGTTACCTTTACCATTCACCACGACTTTAGACTCATCTCCAAAAGTAACATGACCTTGAGTTTGTTCTACCTTCACGAACATGCTTTTATCTCCCGTCATGTGGTTGCTAGCTCCGGTATCTAAATACCACGTGCTCTTCTTTGTTTGTTCTTCATGATTTGCCATCAACAAGGTAAGTTCTACCTCATTATTCATCTCCATGAGATGGGCCTCTTCTTTAACATGATTAGAGCGCTTGCATTCATATGCATAGTGGCCATATTTATTGCAATTATGACACTTTAGTTGAGACTTCTCGTACCTTTGTGGTTTGCTTCCTCTCCCACGGCCTCTAGATGCTTGCGTATATTGAATTCTTTCTTCATTGTTGAAGTTTGTATAACCACGACCTCGACCACCTCTTCCACGTGCACCACGTCCTCGATCATAACCACGACCTCGTTGGCCTCTTTCTTCACCTCTATTCTCCCATCTTTCTTTAAAAGAGAGTTTGGAGTAAAGAGAATGCTCCAATGATTCATCAGATTTATTTCTCACAACTCTTTCTTCATGGACTTGAAGTGAGCCCATAAGTTGATCAATGGTCATGGACTCTAAATCCTTGGACTCTTCTATGGCCACCACAATATAATCATAGTCTTTGGTGAGAGAGCGAAGGATTTTCTCAATCACCGTTATGTCCTTTAGTTCCTCACCATTCCTCTTCATCTCATTTACAATTACTAACACTCTAGAGAAATAGTCGGATATTGATTCCGAATATTTCATTTTAAGTTGTTCGAACTCACCTCTAAGAGTTTGAAGACGAATTCTCTTCACCTTGTCAACTCCCTTGAAAGAGTTATGTAGTATCTCCCATGCTTCTTTAGAAGTGGTGGCATTTGAAACCTTCTCGAACATGGCCTCGTCTAAGCATTGATATATGAGAGTGAGAGCTTGTTGATCCTTCCTCCTACTCTTTTGGAAACTATCCCTTTGGGATTGATTTAAAGTAGCATCATCTTGAGGTTCCTCATAACCTTTCTCAACAATCTCCCATGCATCTTGAGATCCAAGCAAGGCTTTCATGCGAATGCACCAACTAGAGTAGTTATCTTTAGTGAGACGAGGAAATTGGAATGGAACTAAGCCGTTGGAATTCATTTTTCTTGAAAGGATTGATGGCTCTGATACCACTTTGTTGGAAGAAAGTAGTTGATGAGTATTATATTTGGGTGATTGTGTGTGGAAGAGAGAATTTTAGAGAGTGGTGATTTTAGAAAAACTTGGAACTTGTATTGATTTGGAGCTTTTGGCTTGCTTTACAAATGAGTGAGGAGTGCTCTATTTATAGGTCTCATAGGATCCTTCTAGGTACTCCTACTTCCTTAACCTTCTAGAATATTCTATAGGATTCTAGCTTAGGAATAATCTAGAATTGTTTAGGTACATTAACTACTCTAGATCTTTCTAAGTCTATCTTATGGGCTAGCTAATTTATTAATTATCATACAACTTCTAGCCCAATAAGTTAACATCTAATGGACCCAATTATTGGGCTAAGCCAAGTTTAATTTCTAACATAATTAAAGGAAAGAAGTATGTGATTACTTTCTAGTAAATTGACCCCAAGAGCCCTCCACCCGACCCGACAGGATGGTGGGGAGGTTAGTCAGCAGAATGACAGTATGTCCATACAACCGTGCGCACCAGAGGCCCAGCCTTATTTCAGGTTCTGTGACCTCCACCCGGTCGCTGCGGGGATTCGAACCTTAATCCATTGTTCCAAATCTCCCACCACATGATAAATATTTCAATGCTATATATAGATATTACACTAATTGCAATTGCCACATAATATCACCTTGGCTTTGTCAGGCATGTGCTCACCACTCTCCATGGACCAAACAAGATCGAACTCTCCATCCGGGAACGGCTGATTCAACGCATCCGCCACTTGGAAAGAAACCTGCAAATCCATTGCGGGTTACTTTACACTATTAAATTTAAATAAAGGTGAATGCTATGTACCTATCATACCATTTGATTGGTCCAAATCGTTATTTCATCATTCGTTTATATTTAATATTATTCAATTGCAATATTCTAATTAATCTATATGGACAACATATAGTACATTGACGGTATCATAGACTTTGCTTTAAATAAATTTGCTTATCAACTAAACCTACGTCAAGCGCATTATCACTAATGGCTACTTCTTCTGGCCCATTCAAAGGTTTCTATTTTCCTTTCATGTACGTCCTACTCAAAGGTTCTCATTTTTATTTTAGGAAACAATTAACACTCTTAAATAACAATTTAATCATCAAATATTAAAAATAATACATCTATAACATGACAATTATCATCAATAGTTCATTATATTATATACTCATCAATTACTTTCCAAAATATACTCGAATTAGCATATTTAGTTGTTTTTATGTATAATCGTGTCATTTTACAATGAAAACTTGAAAACTTAGAGACATATATAATATTAATCAGTACTCGTATTTATTGTGATGGAGTACTAATTATTCTCTCAAACACAAATATCCTACCAGAAAAATTCTATTCGTATACAAATGCTTGCACCTCATTTACACAATATAGATACATTTCCCTCTCATTTCTTTCTTATCTCTCCTCTCTCCCTTCTCTCTACTCACTCATTATCCATTCTCTACCCAATTGTTTTTAGATATTTCTTCTTCTTCTCAGTGTCTTCCTCTTTTCTTCAACATTATCATTTTCACTTTCTTTTCATCTTTGATTTACATAAAACCCTGCTCTAATTCTCTCTTTTTATCCTCCTTTAGTATCTTTCGATTTTATTCAAAATACATGTAAAATGATCACACACACAAATGCACAACTTACGACTAAGAATAATTACACATTTTCTTCACGCAGAAAACTAAAATTGAAATAACAGTCAACAATTGATTGCGAGCAAAACAATTAATTTGTCTATGTGATAAAGAATATCTGAAAAATCCACCATTTGGTCACATAAAGCTATTATCTATGCACATACAATAAATACAATAATTACACAATTATTCATACTTCCTAAATAAAAACACAGTGCTCCTAATTTGAAATTCCAAAATATTTTACTCCTATCAAGGTCATTTATTTAACATTTTATACATGAACAAAAGAATAAGTTTGGTTCAAAATAAGATAGGAAATGAAATGGAAAAGGTACAAAGTGGGGCTTTAACCTGATCACTGAGTCCGTGAGCAGCAGCTAGAGATTCAGCCCTTTGGGCTTGGTATGGGCTAAGAGTGATTCCTTGACACGTTGCAGAAAATTTGGTGGCTAGGAACCTTGAACTTCCACCAATACCACATCCAACATCTACTATCTTCTTTGGTTTCTTCTCTGCATCCTCTGCATGAATTCATAATGCATGTCACTCCCTATTACGTTTGTTGCTCATTTCATACAAGGTCGATTTTTATTGGTGCCAAATTTTGAATATAATAAAAAACCAAAATACAAAAATAAGGATTAAAAAGATACAATACACTACAAAAAAATTACGGGATTGGCACGGAATTTGGTCCGGACTTACCGATTTTTCGTGCCAAATAGCTCGTGCCAAAGTGTTTTTGGCACGGATTTGACATATTCCTGTCAAAATCTCTGCCAAATCCCTGATCCCATGTTTTTTTGTAGTGACAGGACATCTAAAAATCTAAAATAGTACGGGGTACGTAATATACAAATAAGCTAAAAAAATGAATTCGAATATATAGTTTTTTGGGATAAGGGTCAAATTGAACAACATGGTTACATGTAAATCTCATGTAGTTATATTGGACACTAAGATTTCAAATGGACCAAATTGTACACTATGATTTAATGATTCATGTATGTGTATCTCAAATAGGAAACTAATGTTTTAAATGGATCAAATTTAATGTTTTTCTGATCATTTCTAGTCTTTTTCCTTTCCTTCACATAATTGTAAGCAACTAAATCCCCAAATATTTTACTTCTATACATTCATGATAACGGCTATTCTAAACACTTTACAGAATTTGTTGTTATCAATCTAATCACACGATCGGCTGTTTACTAAACACTTCTTATGTCTAGTTTTTAAAATAAATAGAAATTGGCCTAAATAGGAGTAAAAATGTTTTGAAATTCCAAAATAGGAGTATCAAGTTTTTTATTCTTTGAATAAGAGTAATCTGCCAAGTTTGAAAAAAATGTCATTTTAAAAGCCTAGTAATGCCAAAATTAGCAGAAATTTACTCCCATTTAGGGAATAAAAAACATGATAGTCCTATTTTAAAATTTCAAAATATTTTTACTCCTATTTAAGGAATTTACTCTAAAATAAAAGTATAAATTCCCAAAGGTTAGTGTGAAAAGATTAATGTAACTTATTTGAAAACTGCCAAAAGATGACTAAGTTATAAAGTAGTTTATGACTCATGACATGTGAATCATAATTTCGTTTTTTAACTCGAGATTAATAAATGAGGTGTGGATACCGTAGTCTTCACTAATACAAAAAGTGTTATCATTTTTTGTATCATTTTTGTTATGTAGCATCATACAAATTGATACCATATAATATCTATGGTAACATTATTGTAGCAGAAAATGTCACAATAAAATGGTAAATTACTACAATACATATATTGTAACACCGATCGGATACAACTTACTAAAAATGTTACATTTGATATATTGTCACATTTTTAGCACATATGACAATATTTTGCACATGCTACAAAGACTATACTTTGTTGCGGTGCTTGTGGAATTGGGTCTACTTAGAATAATTAAAGAAACAAGAAATTTTATCAATCAAACACCCATATTTTTAGGAAGATGAAGATTGTCGATATAGTCCAAAAATTGAAAATTAGGAATCAAAGACCTAAAATATACGGAGTAATATGTTTTGATCTCTTTAAATTTTTATTTATCTCATCATTAAATTTTGATGTTTTTTTCTCCACAAAGTTATTAATCTAATAAAGTTAAATAATATTTAAAATTGTTATAATAAAATAACATGGACTTCGTATGTCGACAATCTATATTCTCTTTCAGATCTTTGGCTAAATTACTAAATTGAATACTACCTCCGTCCCAAAAATCTTTGTCATTTCAAAAAATTTGAACCTTGATTTTAATAAGTATAATATTATGGGAGTTAAAAAATTTATACTTTTATGAAAGTAATTTTAATAAAGAACATTTTCATATAATTTTTATATTATAAATAATTTTCAAGAAACATATAGTCAATCAAAATTTTGAAAATGACATATTTTTTTGGAATATTTATGATCGGGTTTGGTATTCATAAGATTCCAAAAAATAAAAATAGTATCTCAACCTCTTGAAGACACTCGCATCCGAAACCAAGCCAGCTAGCTACCCCCAAGTCTTGAAGATAGGACCGAAAGTGGGTGTAGTCCACCCCCAAGTCTCTCCTTTGTGGGAGGTCTTGGGTTCAATTCCCATCGAGGAAGATGAGGGAGGTCTTGCTCCCAATGATTCTCCCTACCTTCACGGAGTTGCTCAGCGGTTGAGTATGGTAATGAAGGTAGCGAGTTCGTGTGGTGGTAGGAGTAGCCTGAAAGGTAATATAAATCCTGTTGGATTCGTCCTTTAGAGCCAATACTGACGAGGCTGACTGTTATCAGATTCGGACTTAACTGTCTAAGATTTTGGAGGGTAGTTCATAAACTTCAGGATTATGGGAGCGTAAACTCCGACACCTTGATTATTAAAAAAAGATAAGACCGAAACTACTTTAAGATAGACACTCGGAACTGGTCCAGTGTAGGTACGTATATGCTACGTATATGCTACCGGGACCGGGAGGTTTTGTTCCTATTCTCAAATTATTTGTACGGGGTATTATGCACTATACTCGATTCTGTCGATTGTATTTAATTATCATTAAAACATGCTCCATATATCATGTTCCCCTCATGCTCCATATATTGTAACCACCAATTTTTGTTAATATTGTCGTATCTTTCTTACGATTTGTTCCACTAAAATAATCTCATTCTAATTATGATAAAGTTTATGTCGTTTAAAACATTTTACTTTATTAATTCAATATCAATCAAATAAATTCACTTTTAATAATAGTCGCGCTTCCTTCTAGCATTCCAATGTTACTGGGACGTAGTCACGAGGTAGTATAACTGTGTAAGGTAGATCTAAAAAACTAAAAAGAAATATGGATTAATTACCTAGCATGTACTCTTTCTATACAAAGTGTAATACTCCAAAATAGTAAAATGTTAAAGGTACCCCAAAATGGGTACCACATTTTACCCCACCCTACTGTGTGGGTATAAGTGGAGCAACTCATTTAAGTGGGACACCATTTAAATGATGTGAGGTAAGAATGTGGTACCTCATTTTTTGGTATCTTTAACAAAGCTCTAACAAATAACATAAAAAAGATAGGTCCAATACGTTGAATGTATTTACACTATCACCACCTATGTTATTTTAACCTGATCAAAACTTAAAATATTTAAAACATAATAGATCAGAATACAAGTCATCAATGAGCTTTTTGTTTCAATATGACTAAATTCAAGTGAAATTCCCAAAAAATGACCAGTTTTCCGGCCATTTTTATGGCGGTGATTTCCTGCGAATTTCCGAACAGCGGTTTCCGACATCAATTTCCAGTGACGAATCTGGCCATGGCTAGATAAGTGTGTGTGGGAGGGGGGTAATTAGGTAAAAAAATTGATATCGATTACGGTAAAAAAAGTCGAAATAATCAAATACTCCATAAAAGGTTAATCATATTTTTGGAGAAAAGGAAAAAAATATTTTTTTATATTTCAAAAAATATACTTAACATTTGTGTCCTTCCACTATCAATCCAATTAACAATTAAAAAATGTAAAACATGAAACCGGCCGGTGTCTAGCCTACTGATAATGGTGACCCATTTATGATAGGGAGATTTACCTTAATAGAAACAAATCATAACTTTTCCCACAAAATCGAACTACCCCATTACCAACGGATTGTCTTGGTTGTGCAAGAGAACTAAGGGGATAATAATTGGATTAGTTAATTAATTCAGTTGGGGTAAAAATGAAATGATTAATTCTATTTAAGGAAACCCAAACATCGAGACTTCATAGCCCTATTTTGAAAAAAAAAACTTACTCCCTCTGTTCCTAATAAGTTTGTCAAGTTTGACCGGCACGGGGATTAATAAAGTAAACACTGTGTGGTTGAGTTTTGTGCAGAGGAGAGAGAATTAACAGAAACCACAAATTCTTTACTTAAAAAGGAAAGTGACAAAGTTAATGGGACATCCGAAAAAGGAAAGTTGACAAAGTTATAAGAAACGGAGGGAATATATTTTTGTCCAAGTAAAGACAATTTTCTCTTTATGATTTACCTACTTAATTACTTCCGTGAAAAAGAACACATGACGTAAAAGAAGACACAGTACGTGGGTAGGGCTAATCATTATTGACATCGTTGTACTAGACTGGTGCGCTTTGTCCATTTACTATCCACCACTTGTTTACAGCGACGACCAATTGTGATTTGATTGACACAATCCTTAAAAAAATTATTCTTATTCTTCCATTTTACCTTATCGATCCGTCCCACTAAGATTGTCTTATACCAGATTTATTTAAAATTTAGTGTCTCTAAATCATTCTTACTTTATTCTTATTTTATCAATCACATAAATCATGTTTTATTAATTTACGTGTCACTCCCTCTTGTTCCATTTTTAGAGGGACAGAGGGAATACTTTGTATTCGCCTCAGATGTGGATATATACTACCCATCCCAATAGTCACAGATTAGTTACTTTATGAAAATGAAATAGTGAAAAAGTTTTTAGCGACAACAAAAAAATGAAAAATTGATAAAATCCAGTGAGATGAAAAGAGTATTCTTTTAATCCCATTAAAATAGAAACAAATAAAAAACAAGGGTAGGATTTGAGAAAATAGATTTTTTATGACTATATATTCCATACTCCCTCTATCTCATTGGACTTTGCCAACATTCCCTTCTTGGTCGTTCCAAAAACTTTTGGTTTTTTTTCTATTAAAGCAATTAATTTGTGGTTCTGCACACTTCTCTCTCATTTGCACAAATCTCAACCACACATTTTTACTATTCTTATTTCTCACCAACCTTGCACTTGACAAAGTCTACCGGAACGGATGTAGTACTTTTTATTATTTTATAGAATTGATAATATTTTTTGAAAGGGTTAAAAATGGAAAATTAATGAAAAGTTAATTGCTAGACGTTTTAGAGTATGTGAATAAAAAGCACTTATTAGCGAAAAGCGGCTCTCCCTCTTCGTAGGGTTGTGAAATTCCGCTGAATTTGTGCGGCAAGGTGCGGCAATCCAAAGAGAGCGTGAGGGCATGGCGACGGGTGAATCTAGTTCGTAGATTAATGACTATCAGCAGGAAGAGGAAGAGGAGTCTCCTGCGGCAACGGGCGTGGGTCGTGTGGAGAAGCTGATTGACATATATGACAGCATGGGCTTGGGTCCTACGACGACGGAGGAACTACTGTTGGACGATGATGAGGAATCAGAGTTCGACTCCAATGAGGCGGACAAAGAGGTGGACACATTCCCTGTGGTTGGCATGATTCCTACGGATAAAGTGGTGAAATTCTGGATTTTTCGTGACCTGATGGCGGCTCTGTGGCATTAAGACAAAGGAGTGTTGATCCAAGAGCGGTGAGAGGAGGTATCTGTTTAAATTTTACTACCTCCGTCCCTTAAAACTTTGTCAAATTTGACCGGCACGGAGAATAATAAAGTAAAAGTTATGTGGTTGAGATTTATGCAGAGGAGAGAGAAATAACAGGAACCACAAAGTAATCGATTAAAAGGGTAAGTGACAAAGTTTTTTGGGACGTCCCAAAAAGGAAAGATGGCAAACTTTTAAGGGACGGATGGAGTATCATATACTCCCTCTGTTCCTATTTTATCTTCCAAATAGGTTTGACACACAATTTAAGATAGTGGGTATTGTGTGGTGGAGAGTTGTGCAGAGGAGAGAGAAACATGTAAGAAATGTTGTGAACCACAAATTCTTTACTAAAAAGGGAAAATGAAAGTTTTAATTGGAACGGACGAAAAAAGAAAGTTGGAAGTTTTAATAGGAACGGAGGGAGTAGTTGATATGACTCGTGTGTTGGGAAATGGACCCTGGTTGTTTGATCAAAGAAAGAATGACTAAAATATGGCCTAAGGACTTTGAATAGACAAAAATATTATCATTTTAGATTTGGACAAAAATGTGACCTCACTGAGAATGAAAAACTCCCAACCAAAACCGTCCCATCTTCCCTACGCATCCCATCCTCCCCACGCCTTACTTCTTCCCCCAAACATCGTTTTATGCGCCTTACTTCATCACACAACCATAGATCTTTGCGCTTTACTTCCTCGCACCACCATCAAATTCAACCTTCCTTCCTCGTCCAGCATCATCGAACTCAGGCACCTCCGAACAGCAGTGGCATCAACCTCCTCTGCCTCCGCTTCCTTGTCCGTTTCCGTCTCTATCACCACCGCCATCGTCCTTTCCCTCTAGCCGAGAACACAGCAGTGGTCTTCGTCGCCGCTGCATCCCTGGCCGCAGCCGCCCTACACCGCTTCCTTTTTCTTCTCTTTCTGTCCGACGCCGCCCTGATGAAGACGGTTGTAGATCTGCGATGACGGTTCGGATGTTGGGGAGTGTGGTTAATGTTAGATCTAGATCTAGATCCATGGAAACGGCGACTATAGTTAGAATTGGGGCAGTGGTACGGTTGGTGTGGCCGTGGGAGGGTTGTGAGGTCGTGGTGGTCATCGATGGGGTCTGGTGGGGGCTTGTTTGGCAGTGACAAGGCTGGGAGGTGTGTGGGATGATGTTTGGCCGGGGCCGGCGGCATCACCCACCGGAAAGGGCGGCATCTGCGGCGTTGTAATGACGGCGTGTGGGGTGTGACAGTGACGATGGTGTGGGGATTTAGAGTGATGATGCAAGGCATATTTGGTCAATGGAAGGTAGCGATGGTGGCTGCAGTGGTGGTGCTATGGCGGTGCAGGCTGGGTGACGAGAAGATTTGGTTGAAATTTACGTTTTTTGTCGAAAAAGTCGCCGAAATATTTTCGACGATCAAAGTGACACCCTCGTCAGTGACACAATGGTGGTGTCAGTGACACCGGCGGTGGCTTCAGTGACATCGACGATAATGATAGTGACATTTAAAAGTGACATAAAAATGTGACAATGAGAAATAATGGTGACATAAAAATGACAGTGACAACATGTTTTCCAAATATGTGACCTTCTTAGTCATATTTTTGTCCTTCCATAAAAATGGTTACATTTTTGGAAATTAGCTTCAATTTGGTAATATTGAAGGAAAAAGCCCCTGATCAAAACCTGTTGGTGATAAAGGTCATAAAATTCGGGGATATTCCTTTGAAGGTCCCTCTAGGAACCGCTCGTAGAATTGGGAATTCCCTGGGGAAGTTTATTTCCTGGGATGATAACCAGTTCGATGAGAGGGTGTGGGTGAATTTGGATGTGAAAAATTCCTTGAAGGTGGGAACAACATTGAAAAAGAGCAAATGGGAAGGGTAATGGGTTGATTTCAAGTATGAAAAATTCTCTAGTTTTTTGTTTTGCTTGTTGAGTTATAGAACATGCTGAGAGGTTTTGTCCTTTATTGTACGAAAAGGGGGATAAAGCTTTTGTTAAATCTTTTGATCCGTGGCTGCGCGTGGATGGAGGGAGATCTCACCCATCTTTGGGTAATAAATGGCATGTGAGTGAAGGAGGAGGTGCAGGAAGAGGTCCAATTAAGACGAGAAGAAACCTTAAAGAGAAGCATGAACAGGGCCAGTGTTACACGAAAGATGAGGCCCAGGGTGGTGTGGGACCACCAAAAAATGATGGTGAGGGGCAGAATAGCAGTGGACCAGGGGAGCAGAAGAGGAGGCTTACCTGGAAAGCACAGGAGCAGGAGCACTCAGAGGAGGATGTCATGGCTCTCGATGTGACAAAAAACATGGAAGAAGCGGGGTGGAGTAGGGCTGTTAACGAACCGAGCTTTTATCGAACTATTCGAGTTCGAGCTCGGTTTCGAACCTAACGGGTTCGAGCTTAACGAGCTTTCAAACTCGAACCCGAGCTAAGTTTTAAGTTCGAAAACTTTATCGAACTGAGCTCGAACATAGTAGTATTCGGCTCGATTCGAACTCGAGGCTATCGAACACCTGAAATTATAAATATAATTTATATGTATGTCAAAATTTAAATATAATTAGTATGATTTTGTGAATTTACATATGACTATTAACGAACTGAATACTTTTCGAATCGTTCAAGCACGAGCCTATTAACGAGCATCACCTAAAATTTTAAATTTGAGCATATTCATCAAACTTATCGAGCGCTCGGTTCGAACATCGAACGCCTATCGAGCCGAACACGATCCTCATTTGTAAAGCTCGTCGAGCTTCAAACTCGGACCTGAACACCACTAATTCCTTATCGATCCGAACTCAAGCTTTGGGTGTTCGGGCTCGGCTCGTTAACAACCTTATGGTGGAGCATCCACGCCCGCCAAAAACCATGAAGATCAAGGGCTCTAGGGGCGGAGCCAGGGTACTGGGCCAGGCTGGGCCGATATGAAGAATATTTTTGAAATTTTTTTACGCGGAATTTTTTACCCTAAAAATATAGACATTTTTAAAATTTAGGCTGGGCTAGGGCCAGGGTCGGGCCTCCCCTAGCTCCGCCCCCGAAGGGCTCTTTGAAGATTGAAGTTATCTTTAATTTTAGACTTTTTTTCTTTCATGTTGAATTTTGTTTCGGTCATCGTGTGTTTCTGTTTGCTTAAGTTTGTATTCATGCCGAAACTCTAGAACACAGGACATATGATGGGGAGTCTAGTTTACTAGTCATTGGCTCAGGTAAAATTCCAATTCAGGATCAGTGAATATGATTACTTCTTTAGAGGTAACAGGTTCTAAGTCTGGTTCAAGGGGGAACGATGACAATGGGTTCTTTGTCTGGTTGTATTCTGCTTATGTTCTGTTATATTAATTTAAGCCATCTTCTTCCAAAAAAGAGTGTGAATAAAAAAGACTTCCTTATTACGAAGTACTTAAGATAAAAATAAAGGTCAGGTAAGTGCAATCAAATAATTAGGATGTTTTCTTTTGGATTGAAATTTGCTGGTGTGATCTGATCTAGTTTGGTCTACTCTGGTCAGAAGTTGTCCAGTTTGATAAATGTCTTGTATCTATGTATTTTATAACTATGGAAGTTTGATCTAGTTTGGTCTGGTCTGGTATGGGACAGAAAATAGTCCAAAAGAAAAAATGAGGAAATTACCAAATGTATGATTAAAAGAGATACAATTTTCGTATGTATGACTCGAGTAGTCTCCACAATAGTTACATTTACAAGATGTAACTGCTATATTAAAGCATACCGTATGCATGTACACCCTTTACTATGTCAAATAAACATTTTAAGTCGCATTATGTGAAAGTGGCATGTTTTAGTAATATATTGGTATTTTTCCAAAGAAAACGTCTTGTAGGAGGAAATTGGGTAACCAAAAGTACAAAACCGCTGGTAAGAAAGTCAAACCGTTTTGCCGTATTCCCTGAGTCAACGACACATTTTGGAAGAAAATGTACTCCGTATAAGACAAATGTTATTTGTGATTCTATTCAAAAAAAAATAATTGATCATATTCTATTCAAAAATTTAAGATAGTAATTTGGATGTTACAAAAAAAATTAAACGAATGGGTAAACGAGTGGTAAGAAAATTAAAAAGGGTGACATTCAAGTAGTATTCATCTTGATTAGGAAAAAATGTCAAATAAAAACAAAGTAATTTTTTTCTGTTTAGCACGTATCCATGTTTGGTTTTTCATTTTTTTTTCACAATTCCACATTATATTGGGACTTTAATTTTTCCAATTTTTATATTACCTCTGTTTTTAGTTATTGAATTTTACATTATTCAAGTACCATGTCCGTTCTTTTACATTGTAAATGTATTATAAATTTTATTTTTGAATTACATTGTTAAATTATTCTCATTTTGAATTTGCAAAATCCCATTTTTTAATATTTTTGACTAACAAGGACTGAAATATATTAAAGGTCAAATATGTGCATAAACAAAAATGGATTTTTTGCAACTAAAAAGAACAAATTATTCTCTTTCTCACCATATCTTGCTTCTCATTTCTAATAGTCTTGATTCTCTTTTACACCATTTATACCTTAATTATTACGAGTATCACCTACTGTTTTTCTTGATTTTTGGGAAAATACTTATATTGACAAACATAAAGGAATGGTTGGAGTAGCAAATTTATCCAAGGTAAAGTTAAGATTAGGTTTACGTTCACATTCTTTCGATACATTTTTTTGTACATTCAGAGTGACACCTATTATTGAAAGGGATGAAATCAACTCACTATTTACACTGCAACAAAGGCTCTCACACCTTCGGTGGGGTAAAAGGAGGCGGATGTACGCAGTATTACTCTTATACTTTAACCTTATACTACAGAATAAAGAGATTGTTTCCAAATGATCATAGTGAAAACGCATCATAGGTATCACATCGAAATGTGGTACATATCTATTTAGATGTTTTAAACTAGACTGTAACTTTCTGATCTTAGCAGATTTGGTATCTGGTTTGATTTGAAATGGCCAAGTCTAATTTGGTCAGTTTGGCTCTGTTTAAATAAATTTGAACGGGTCGCATTTGATTTGAGAATAAAATCAGCGGGGGCGGACCCAGAAAATTTTGGGGGGCGAAAATATTGTTTGGGGGTTCAAATTTTTTTTTCATATAAATATATATATATACACTAAAAAAATCTTATGGGGGCGCGCGATTGCCCCCTAGGTCTACAGTACGGTCCGCCGCTGAAAATCAGTCCAATTAAAGACATTGTTAATGAAACAGATAAATTTATAATTATTTCATCATTTATATACATTTAAATTATTTAATTGTACGACAATAATTTCCAAAAGTAGATTTTGCCATAGAATGTTTTAAAGGTATCGGGACAAAAACAAAAGCACATGACCCGCATAAAGAAACACAAAAAGCGACGGACGACGTTAGGAGCGTACCGGAAACGGAGGCAAATCGGAGGGCCTCTTCGACCATGCGGATCTGAGCGGCGCGGTGGTCGGAGAGGGAGACGCCGGCGGGCTGCTTGTCGTAGAAGCCGTGGTGCAAATGGTCTCCCCATATGTCTTCCCACATCCCCGACGACTCGTCATAGAACTCAGCAATCCCTTTCTTCAGCTGCTCATCCTGCCCCGCCGCCGCAGACGGCAATTCGGAACTCTTCTCCACCGCATTCGCCATCTGAATAGTGATATATGTGCTCTGTATATATCTATATATCCACTGATTTCGTTCTTTATAGCTGCGGCCGCCTGGGTGAAGAATGTGCCGCGTACAAGTGTGATGGATGACATGACACGCGGCCATATGCCATTGGACCAAGACAGGCACGCTACATTCGGATGCTCTACACCATCTATTCGAGTTACCTTAAAATATACCTATGTTGTTCAAATCGAAATTCCAATTATTGGACAAGTCATCGGGTCACGGTGAACTTGGACTTAGATGACTCGCTAGTTAAAATTGGGTCACTAAAAAAGAAATTCTCAAATAAGATCATGTATGTTTTTTTCCTCAAATAGGATCGATTTACTCCTATTTTAAAATATCCGTATATTTCATTCCATTATTAAGCTCTATCCCTTTACGCACATCTCTCCAACCGCTTCCCCTTCTCTCCTGCGCACATCCCTCTCTCTCTTTCTTGATTCCTTGCGCATCATCATCGGCTTCATCCAAGCCATCGTCGCCGCCTCCGTCGACTTCGCCCTGTGCACAAGATCGACCGCTTTCCTCTCACGCCATCGATTTCGCCGCTGCCATTAAGGTTCTTCTTCTCCTTCTTCCTCTTCTCCTTCTTCCTCTTCTTCCTCTTCCTCTTCCTCTTCGATTTTCCTCTGTTTTTTTGGATTTTGAATTTTCTTCTTCTTCCTCTTCCTCTTCGATTTTCCTCTGTTGTTTTGGATTTTGAATTGAATTTTCCAATTTTCGGGCTTCTGTTTTGATTTTTTGATTTCTAGTTTCTGAGTTTTAAAACAAATTCAGATTTTCAACATTTTGGATGATTGTTTCGGATTTGGCAATGTGTATGGCAGAAATGTGTCCATTAACATCATATTATGGCAGAAATGCTTTTGTATAAAGTGTTTTTTTTGTCAATAGCTTCGTTTTTCTAATTTGCTATTGTGCTAAGAAAATTATTCCACTAAAAAACATAGTTGTTTGAATATTTGGTTATTTATTTCATGTTTTTTCATTTTTTGTCAAATTTATGGCATTTTTGTGTTAATATTTCAACATGAATCTGCCAACTTTTTGGCAGATCTGAAACTCTTGTGTTATGGAAGATGTAGATCTAATCCACAACTCTAAATCTGCCAACATAAAGGCAAATTTATTCCGCCTGAGTTGTCGTGTTCAGAGGATGGCGGTGGTGGTGGATGGCGACGCCGATCAATTTAGTTGTTTGAATATTTGGTTATTTATTTCATGTTTTTTCACTTTTTGTCAAATTTATGGCATTTTTGTGTTAATATTTCAACATGAATCTGCCAACTCTTTGACAGATCTGAAACTCTTGTGTTATGCCATGGACGGTGTCGCCAGTGTGGGAAGCGGCGGCGATCAGGGGGCGGCGATGAGTGGAAATGATGGGCCGTCAAGGATGCGGCAGCAGGCGGCGAGGGCGGCAACGGGCGGCACATTCACCGGCGAGGGCGGCGACGGGCGGCACATTCACCGGCGAGGGCGGCGACAGACGGCGTCGTCTCCGGTGAGGGCGGAGGCAGGATCCGGCGGCGGGCGGTTTGGCTCTGGCGGTGGCAGTGTCACTGCTAGGGTTTCAATAGTTTTTAATTTTACATTTTTAAAATTTAAAATATTAGAAGAGGGGTATTTTAGTCTACTACTCTGAAAATGGTCCTATGAAACATATGATTCGTTTATAGTCCTAAGTGGACAATTAACTTTACTATTAGTCCTATTTGAGGCATTAACTCTATTATATTCCCTCCCGTCATAAATATATTTAACATTTTTATTTCACACAAATTAATGAAATAAATTTGGTTTACCGTAGAGTACACTGTTGTGACACTGTTTGACACTGTTTTGCACTGTTTTGATGTAGATAATTTGCCAAATAAGGAAGAGAGAAGAAGTGCGAAGTTTATTTTGGACCTACGCAAAAAAGGAAGCGTGAAGTTTATTTAGGACAGAAAGGAGTATTATTATTATCATCCCTTTGAGTGATATTTTCTCATTTTGTTAATTTTGTACTTCCGATTAATATTGCATATATTAAATTTGGCAATGTTTATATAGTTGTAAATCATTTGTAATTTATTAAATCAATGTCTATCATACAAATTTAATATTGTCGATAGCCACATCACCGCCTAATGTATCAAACATAGGAGACGCAACAACTCTTTATTGCCATTTTGCAGTAAAATTGAGCATAATTATACTCACTAAAATTTATGAAGACATGTTTTTGTCCATTACTCTTATCTTGATTGTATATCAAGATTTATTTCATAAAAAATATGAAATAATAAAAAACGTGACCAAAATAACAATAATAGACAAAATTGTGAGTTTTTATACTTTAGTCTCTGTAATAGTAACTTTAGTGACGATTATTGTGTTCAATTCTACACCATAATGACTATGCATAGTAACTATAGTAATATTTTCTCCCTAAGTTGTACTTCGGTAATATTGAATGAAAAACCTAAAAAATCGCTCAATGATCACTTAGAGAATGCTTGGCAATCAAATGTTGGTTGTTAAGAGAGAGGAGATTTTATTGGCTATATGGATATCAACGGAATCTATTATTTCACTATTACATTTTCGGGTCTTTTGTAACAGCATAATTCATTACATTTGATCCAAAATACTGTTACATTTGATTTATTGTAATAGTTTGTCGTCGTTACTTTCGTTCGCGTTGCATTTGCTCTAATGTAACGACTTGTAACGAATTTTATGACCAATTGTAATGGTCATCACAAGATGCCATAAATGTCACGCCCAGACCGCAATCTAAGCGCATGTACAACCGCCGTACAATCGAGTGACGTCACCCGCAGGTCAACCTCACTTAATCATACAAGGCGTTCGAGAAAACAATCCGTTCATACTCAGTAGTAAACATACATAACAACATCACAATTAAATCATTGAATAGCGGAAATATTCAGCGGTAATTCATATGCTACATTCGCCCAATAACATGGACATGCAAGCCCAAAAGTAGTTTAAAACAAATAAAAATATCCATGAGCAATGTTTTAGTAATTTGAAAGAACATGAGGAATCACGAACCATGCATTTCTTGAATTTGATGTCACCCGTAGAAGGGTGCAAGCAGCAAGCCCTAGCTTCAACCTGAAATGGTGCCCCCCGAAGGGGTCAGTACAAGTATCGAGCGAGTAGCAGACTAAATATAGAATAACTAGCGTTTTAAGTATAAGACCCTAACATAGGGTAATACTTATATAAATAGTCTTTTCCCCCAAGTTAAGCAATACTTAATAGTACATATACACTTGGAAAATACCCGATCCGTAGATCGCCGTTTTATTTTGGAAAATAGTAATAGTCAATATTCTTGACTAAAAAACTCAACCCACTCATATACTTATGAGTGTATAGGACTCCTCCTTATCCTTATTTCAATATCGTAATCTATGAGTTTTGAGGATAACATAATCTTTGGGTGCTCCACCAATATATATTTGAGTGTTAAGGACTTTTAGTCCTAGAGTCCTCCACCAATTTATAGTCCGAGTATTAAGGACTTTTAGTCCTAGGGTCCTCCACCAATTTATAATATGAGTTTTAAAGACTTTTAGTCCTAGGGTCCTCCACCAAGATTATAATATGAGTGTTAAGGACTTTTAGTCTTAAGGTCCTCCACCAAGTTTATAATATGAGTGTTAAGGACTTTTAGTCCTAGGGTCCTCCATCAAGTTTATAATATGAGTGTTAAGGACTTTTAGTCCTAGGGTCCTCCACCAAGTTTATAATATGAGTGTCAAGGACTTTTAGTCCTAAGGTCCTCCACCAAGTTTATAACATGAGTGTTAAGGACTTTTAGTCCTAGGGTCTTCCACCAAGTTTATAATATATTATCAACCTCCTATCAACCTAGATAGAGTCTATACCCTATTTATTCATTCATGGCTAAATCAATCCATGAAGCTTATGTATCTCAATTCATGCAAAGTCGTGCATTTATATAAATTTATAATTAACTAATACCAACCGGTATTAATTAATCCATTATTTATCGGTCAACGTTTTCGTTGACCATCATTTCAAGCCTTGTACTTCAAGCAAATATGCATTTTATATAATTCCACATATCATATTTTATGCATAAACAATTAGTTCCTTTCATACAAACTTAACCATGTTGGCTAATCTCATGTTTAAATATCTTTTAAACATCGTTATGAACACATAAAACATTTATTTAGGTAATCTCATAATTAATCCAAAAGTTATAAGATATTAAGTCGTCCACTCACCTCAAATGAGCTTTAAGAAGTTCTACTCTTCTTAGTTGAACTACGGCAAAACTCCGACGAACTCCGGCGAAACTCCGGCGAACTCTAAAAACCCTTTGGTCAAGTTCCTAACAAGAATTTATCATCATAAAACCCATATCAACACAAATAACTTCTAAAAGATTCTTTTCCGGTGAACCGGTCATTTTGGCTTCTAAGTCCATTCTTGGACTTAGAACTATTTTCCAACCCCTCATTCAACACTTCTAAATGTATAGAACAGTTCTAGGGGTCCTCCATATGATACATGAGTCATATTATAGATAAAAAGTTAACATAAGGTTGTTACCTTAATCCTTCACAATTTTTCTAACTTTTTCTTTCTTTAATCTCCCTCTTTGAACCAACTTTGCTTGAGCTCGAATTCCAACAATGGAGATAGGTTTGAGAGCTTTCTCTTCTTCTTCTTTGATGGCTTTGGTCGAGTTAAGGAGGCAGGGGTGAGAGGGATGTGCACTTTTGTGTTAATTGGCAAATAAATGAGTCCTCTTTGGTACTTTAGATGCCAAATGACTCTCCACTCCTTCCTTTGTCAACACCAGCCCATTTTGTCTAATTGAGCACATAAAAACGTGGGGTGGCCCCCACTCACGTGGGAGGTCAACCCTTTGTATTCCGAAGTGTACATTCGACCCCAAAAGTTGTATTTATCGGACTGTTTTAATTATATTTTATTTTATCGGGTCAAATAAAATATATTGTGTGACTCCAATCACTAAGGACCTTTAGAAAAATTATACATTCCCAAACTTTAATTTAGAAGTCTCCGAAATTCATTTTGGGCTACTACCCGATAAATTACCAATACCGATAATTGGGACTCATTTGACGAGCCGGTCAACCCTATGCCTTTGTTATGGTCCAACTAGGATATCCAGTTATCCACCACCCTATAATTATTATCTAGACCAAGATGAATATTATATGTGGTCCCGAAAATATCGAGTTGCCCCCGTTCCTGGTGTGGGCCCCGCGTGCAATTTACTATTCACGCAAAAAGAGAATAACAAAAATTTACAACCTCGTAAATTCATAATTCATTACTCATGGTTTATTACATGATTTCCTAAAAGTAAATATACTTGGGGACGGTGTTACAATAAATGTTACAACAGATCGAGTAGAAATGTAACAGTATGTAGCATGCACGGTGGTAACGGTTTTGAAAATACATTGGCCTTGATTAATTATGTAATGTAACAGTTTATATATTTGCACACATGCACCGAGATGTTTTTACACACCTATAGCAATGAATGTAACTAGTTGCCCATTTAATTATAATTACATACAAAAGTGAAACAAAAGTTGGCCCCAACATTAAATCAATTACATTACAACCCAAGCAACTTAAGTTGTTCAAAAGCATGCAAAGTAGTTATGTTAAAAGCATTTTGACAGAGACCTGAGTTTGATAAATAAGTAGCAAAATGTTGAACATCATGTTCACAAAGCAAAAGATTGTTTATCACTACTACTAGGAGAAGCTCAAATCAGTCATGAGTATGCATCATTCATCATTTGATTCCATACCATCTTCATCCTCATGCGAATCCCTCACCTGTAAACAAACATTTCAAATAATTAAGCACTCATGTTATATATTTATATATAATCCGTTCATTTGTTTTTTAGAATAAGATTCATCTAAATACTGTTCTGAAAACTCATATTCACATCTAAGCTACAGAGTACATTATAAAGCAGTTAGTTCATGCACATACCATAATTCAAGTCAATCTTTACTAGGTGCCAACCATATCCTTACCAGCATGTAAGATACCTCTCCAGTACTACATGACTATTTCCACTTAAACTATCTATTGAGGAAATAGATAGTTGGCCTTCATGACCCCGAAGGGAATTTTTTAGTACCTCGTCATGGTTTTCGGACTCAAAAACTCTGGCGCCACCTATACCAGGATGGTGGCTAAGATCTTCAGAACAGTCCTCGGCCGGACGATGGAGGCATACGTCGATGACATGATTGTCAAAAGCAGGTGAGCCACCACACATGTTGATGACCTCCGGGAAATTTTTGAAATCATGAAGGAGTTCAAACTCTGCCTCAACCCCAAGAAGTGTGCCTTTGGCGTCCAAGGAGGCAAGTTCCTCGGCTACATGGTCAGCCGGAGAGGCATTGAAATAAACCCAGAGAAGATACATGCTATCATCAATATGGAGCCGCCCCGCAACGTCAAGGAGGTACAGCGGCTAACGAGGCGTCTGGCGGCCCTGAGCCGTTTCCTCTCCAAGTCAGCCGAGAGGTCACTCCCTTTCTTCCAGATCATGCGCAAAGCAAACAGCTTTAAGTGGACGACGGAGTGCCAGGAAGCATTTGAAGAGCTGAAGAGGTACCTTACGTCCCCACCAGTGCTCTCCAAGCCCAAGGCCGGTGAAACCCTCTTCTTATACTTGGGGGTGAGCACGTCGGCTATCAGCTCCGTGCTCATCCGCGAGGATGAAGGGGTGCAGAAAGCCATATTTTACATCAGCAAAACACTCAGGGAGGCCGAGCTCAGGTACTCCCCCATTGAGAAGACGGTGCTAACTATCGTCCACACGGTGAAAAAGCTGGGGCACTACTTCCAGGCCCACGCCGTCCACGTACTGACCCAGGAGCCCCTTGGCGTGCTCATGAGGAGCCCCACTAGCTCCTCGAGGATGGTGAAATGGGCGATCTTCCTCAGCCAATTCCAAATTGAGATCAAGCCAATGCCATCTATCAAAGGGCAAGCCTTGGCCGACTTTGTCACCGAATGCACAGCGAGGGAGACGACCGCTACTACCCCCGGGCCAGAGCCAGATGACATGTGG